GATCTCATTTCTTCCCTTAATCTTCTCAAGAAGAGTCTCTGATGCATTCATTCCTTAGTTCCTTACTGTCTGCCTGCTGGAACTTTCTCTGAAAGTCCTGAGACCTCCCAGTTGCTGAGTCCCTTGGCCACTTCCTGCTCAGCTCTTATGTACTCTTTGGCACTGCCTCTTTCCCCTCCGTGAAACCTTCCCCTCCTTGCTTTCTGCTTTCCTCCTACTCTGCGCCTGAATCTCCCTTTTTTCTCTTGTCTCCTATCCTGGAAGGGCTTAGTCTCCATTCAGTTTATCTTCCACTGGTAATGTCATCCACTCCCATGATTGCAATTCTGAACCTGATGCTGAGGATCCCCAAATCTACAGCTCTTGCTCAAACTTGCTTTTTTTTTTTTTTTTAATGTTTGAGAGAGAGCGCCTGCAAACACGTGAGTTGGGGAGGGGTAGAGATCCGGGAGAGAGAGAATCCCAGGCAGGCTCCACGCTATCAGTGCAGAGCCTGTCTCTAGGCTCGAGGATCCCTGAGATCATGACCTGAGCTGAAATCAATAGTTGGATGCTTAACTGACTGAGTCACCCAGGTGCCCCATGCTCAGACTTATTTTCTGAACCCTCAGGCTCAATTTCTTCTTACCCCCTGGGTATTTCTATAGAAATGGGGCAGTGTACTGTGCACAGCCTGCTTAACTTGGCTCGTTACTACTGCCTCTTCATCCATGTGAGTCCTGTTGAGTCTCTCTCACCTTGGCGATCCGGGCTGGAAATCCCATCATTTCTGTTCCTTTATTTTGTCCTTTTCTTACTTCCTGGTCCCCGCCACTACCATATCCCAGATTTAGGCCTGTTATCTAGCAGGTCTTCAAAGGGGGGAATGCAAGAAGATTGTTAGGGTGCGGAAATAAGATGAAGTTTATTTTATTTTTTTAATTTCATTTTTTTATTAAAAATTTTTCAATGTTTAATTTACCTTTGAGAGAGAGACAGAGTGCAAATGGGGGAGGGGCAGAGAGAGGGAGACATAGACTTTAAAGCAGGCTTCAGGCTCTGAGCTGTCAGTACAGAACGCAGGGCTTGAACTCCCGAACTGCCGGATCATGACCTGAGCCGAAGTCTGTGCTTTAACTGACTGAGCCCCCCACACGCCCCTCAGTAAATATTTATTGAATGAATGGGCCAGTGGACACTCAAACTTGTTTGAATTCACGTTTGGAAGGGCAGGCTCTGTTCTCCCTGGACACAGCCGGCTCAGAATTTGGTTTTTCTTGGCATTTCAGCTATGGGTCCTGTGATTGCACGTGGAGCCTGTGGGCCCAGTGTGACTTTTCTGAAGTGGCCCTGCCCTGCCACCACTTCTTCCTAGAGCTCCTAATGAATTGGTTTTTGTCACAGTTGCAAAGTAGCCCTTTTCCAGGCCTCGTTTCCTTGCTTAATGGGTTTTGCTAACTCCGTGTCTCCTAAAGGCAGGATGACCAAGTTTTTTAAGTTTTTATTTTAATCGCTCTCTTTTATTTCCCTTTGCTTGTTTTGTTTCTTAAATTCCACACAGGAGTGAAATCGTATGGTGTTTGTCTTTCTCTTACTGATTTATGTCACGTAGCATTATATTCTTTAGCTGCATCCATGTGGTTGCAAATGGTAAGATTTGATTCTTTTTTTTTTTTTTTTTTTAAGGTTTATTTATTTTGAGAGACTGCGAGTGGGGGAGCGACAGAGAGAGGGAGAGAGAGAGAAACCCAAGCAGGTTCTGCGCTGTCAGTGCAGAGCCCGATGTGGGGCTCAAACCCATGAAGCTGTGAGATGATGACCTGGGCCAAAACCAAGAGTCAGACACTTAATTGACTGAGCCACCTAGGCGCCCCAATATTTCATTCTTTTTAATGGCTGAATAATAGTTGTGTATATATACCACTTCTTCTTTATACATTCATTCATCAGTAAATGGACACTTGGACTGCTTCCATAATTTGGCTATTATAAATAATGCTGCTATAAACAGGGGGTGCATGTATCCCTTTGCATTAGTATTTTATATTTTTTTGGGTAAATACCTAGTAATGTGATTACTGGATTGTAGGGTAGTTATACGTTTTATTTTTTTGAGGAACATCTATACTGTTTTCCAGAGTGGCTGCACTAGTTTGCATTCCCACCAACAGTGCAGTAGGGCTCCTTTTTCTCCGTATCCTTGCCAACATCTCTTGTTTCTTGTGTTGTTGATTTTAGCCATTCTGACAGGTGCGTCAGACATTTGACTGAGCCACCCAGGCACCCCTTATTTTTTTTTTTATTTTAGAGCATGTGCGTGCAAGTTGGGGAGAGGGACAGAGGGAGAGAATCTCAAGCAGGTTCCACGCTCAGCATGGAGCCCAACATGGAGCCCCGTGTGGGGCTCAATCCCACGATCCTAGAATCATGACTTGAGCCAGAATCAAGTGTTGGGGACATTCAACTGACTGAGCCACCTTGGCACCCTTGCCCCTTTTTAATTGAATTATTTGGTTTTTGGGTGTTGACTTGTAGAAGTTCTTTATATATTTTGGATACTAACGCTTTATCAGATATGTCATTTGCTGATATTTTCCCCCATTCCATAGATTGCCTTTTAGTTTTGTTGATTTTTTTTTCCCTTTCCTGTGCAGAAGCCTTTTATTTTGATGTAGTCCCCAAATTTACTTTTGCTTTTGTTCCCCTTGCCTCAGGAGACCTATCTAGGAAAAAGTTGCTATAACCGATGTCAGAGAAATTACTCTCTGTGCTACTTTGTGGGATTTTTATGGTTTTAGGTCTCACATTTAGATTTTTAGTCCACCTTAAATTTGCTTTTGTGTATGGTATAAGAAGGTGGTCCAGTTTTATTCTTCTACATGTTGCTGTCCAGTTTTCCCAACACCATTTGTTGAAGAGATCATCTTTCTCCCATTGGATATTCTTTCCTGCTTTGTTGAAGATTAATGGACTATACAGTTGTGGTTTTATTTCTGGATTTTCCATTCCATTGATCTATGTCTATTTTTGTGCTATTACCATACTGTTTTGATTACTGTGGCTTCGTAATGTAACTTGAAATCTAGGATTGTGATGCCTCCAGGTTTCTTTTTTTTTTTTTTAACGTTTATTTATTCATTGTGAGTGAGAGAGCACGTGAGCATGCAGAGCCCAACACAAGGCTTGATTCCCCAAACTGAGATCATGACCTGAGCCAAAACCAAGAGCTGGAAGCTCAACCAACTGAACCACCCAGGCATCCCTGCTTTTTTTTTTTTTATGTTTATTTTTAAGATTTATGTTGAGGCATGAAGTTATTGAGCTTGTGCCTGGGCGCGAGGGGGTGAGAGAGAGAGAGAGAGAGAGAGAGAGAGATAGGATCTGAAGTTTGCTCCTCCCTGACAGAGAGCCTGATGCAGAGCTCAAACTCACCAACCGTGAGATCATGACCTAAGCAAAGATCATGACTTAACCCACCGAGCCACCCAGGCGTCCCCTGCTTTTCTTTTCCAAGATTGCTTTGCCTATTCGAGGTTTTTCTGTGGGTTCATACGAATTTTAGGATTTTTCTAGTTCTATGAAATATGCTGTTGGTATTTTGATAGGAATTGCATTAAATGTGTAGATTGCTTTGGATAGTGTAGACATTTTAATAATTGTTCTTCCAGTTCATGAGCATTGGAATGTCTTCATTTCTTTAATCATTGGAATGTCTTCAGTTTCTTTCATCACTATTTTCTAGTTTCCAGAGTACAGTTTTTCACCTCCTTGGTTAGGTTTATTCCTACGTATCTTACTATTTTTGGTGCAGTTGTAAATGGGATTGTTTTCTTAATTTCTCTTTCTATTGCTTCATTATTGGTGTATAGAAATGCAACAGATTTCTGTACGTTGATGTATCTGTGACCTTACTGAATTCGTTTATTAGTTCTAGCAGTTTCTTGGTGGAGTCTTTTGTGTTTTCTATATAGAGTGTCATGTCATCTGAAAATAGTGAGAGTTTAACTTCTTCCTTACTGATATGGATGCCTTGTATTCCTTTTTCTTGTCTGAGTGCTGTGACTAGGAGTTCCAGTTCTATGTTGAATGGAGTGAAAGTGGACATCCCTATCTTGTTCCTGATCTTAGGGGAAAGGCTCTCAGTTTTTCTCCATTGAGTATGATGTTTGCTGTGGGTTTTTCATATAATGCCTTTATTATGTTGAAGTATGTTCCCTATAAACTTACTGTTTTGGGAGTTGTTATCATGAATGTGTGTTGTACTTTGTCAAATTCTTTATCTGAGAGTATGACAAGTTTTAAATACACTGGAAAGAAACTCTCATGGTATTATTACTGATTCAGTCTTGTACATCTTAAACCTAATTGCATTTGCTCTGATATTATGTAAACACAGCATTAATTTTGTCAACTTTTGCTTTTGTAGCTACGTTAGGGTTTTAGATGCGCACTCTGTCCTGTCTGCTGAGGAAACTAACTCAAGAATGAATAGTGTCAGAGCTGAGGGCCTGACAGCACATAAGGAGAAGCTGGCCTATTTTACTTTAATGGGTCAGCTGTTCCTCACCCCTTTGGATGTCCTCTAGCTTTCAAGTCCAATGGCCCGGCTGCCTGGCTCTTTGTAACAGGTGCTGCTGGCCTTCTGGTCCAAGAGGAGGGGCACCTGGTTTCTCTGAGGGCTCTCAGAGACATAATCTCATGACAGTGAGCTCAAGGGAGGGGCGTGACTCTCCTGTAGAGTGTGTTTATTTTTGGTACATTTGTTTCAGGCTGCTTCTGAGAACAGGACCTACGCTTACTAGGCACAAATTTTGTCCTAAAATTTTTACATAATCCTAGTTTAAATTAGTGTGGATGGTATTGTCATTTTGGCTTTTCCTAAGACAGGTGTTTTCTGGGTTTGGTTTTATATTTATGTCTCTATGCCTGTCTTTTCCCTTGGCTTTCATTGTAAGACTAACTTCTGCTATGACCCAAAGTGGAGGCAAGACCAATTTGATTTCCTCTTCTGGTTTGCCCAGGTGGCCGATGAATACATGTTTTCCCTGGAGGAGAATAAGAAGTCCAAGGGCCGTCGTCAGCCCTTAAGCAAGCTCCCACGCCATCACCCGCTTGTGTTGCAGGATTGCGTCAGTGATGATGGTAAGTGTTTTCTCTCTTAACCAGGAAGGGGAATGTGGCTCACCCCATTAGGACTTGCTCTGACAGGACATCAGGAGGCAGGGCTGAGCGCCAGGGGTAGGCCTGTGGCTTAGTTCTCCCAGATGCTCCACAAAGAGGGCAGGATCTCATTTGTTACTTACTTCATAGTCAGATTTCTTTATATGTCTGTGTGTCTTGGAATATGCCTAATACAGGATGATCACATGTAGGTTCTTCTCTTTCTTTACTAGGAGGTACAGGCTGATTTTTCTGGATAGCATTTCTTTCAATGATACCAAGCCCAATGCTGAATGTGTAGCTACAAAGATAACTAAGATATGTCCATGCCCCCCAAAAGCTCACAAGGTAGTGGGGCAAACTGACAGGTAAACAGATCTAAAGAAAGGAGATGTTAATCTAGGGAGGGGGAGCTGGAGGATAGATTGAGAGGAAGCAGCTCAAAGGGCCAGGACAAGGTGTGGGGCAGGCAGGAGTGAGGTGGGGGGAGGATAAAGAGGGAGTGCCTTTTTCTAGCGGGCCTTCAGGAGCTTTTGACGTGTTTTAAGTGGCCAGATTTACATTAGAAGTGACTGCATATTGAGAGTGGCTTTGAGGGCAACAGATGGGCTTTTGCCATGGTCTCTGAGAGCTAGGGGAGGGTCTGAAGCAGGATGATGGTGGTTAGGGTTGGGGAGGGATGTAGTGAAGGTGTTGGGAGGATAAAGCCAGCTGGATTTGGGGTTGGTTGTAGACCTGTGAGCTTGGTAGGGACTGGAGAAGCCTGGGTTCAGTGCCTCCCTGACTTCTGGTTGTGGTTGGGTTTGGAAACCTATGTTCAGTGTCTGTGGAGGATGTAAACTTGAGGCTGAGCAGAGGTGGTGTTTGGTAATGTTATTGGGGTACATGAGGCCACTGGTGGAGAAGCATAGAGGAGGGTGAGCAGAGGTGGTATTTGATACCTTTTTAAAAAATTTATTGGGGCACCTGGGTGGCTCAGTTGGTTAAGCGTCCGACTTCAGCTCAGGTCACGATCTCGCGGTCTGAGTTCAAGCCCCGCGTCAGGCTCTGGGCTGACGGCTCGGAGCCTGGAGCCTGCTTCCGATTCTGTGTCTCCCTCTCTCTCTGCCCCTCCCCCGTTCATGCTCTGTCTCTCTCTGTCCCAAAAATAAATAAACGTTAAAAAAAAAAATTTATTAAAGGGGCACCTGGGTGGCTCACTCAGTTGAGTGTCTGACTTCGGCTCAGGTCATGATCTCGGTTTGTGAGTTAGAGCCCTGCATTGGGTTCTCAGCTGTCAGCGAGGATTCTGCTTGGGATCCTCTGTCCCTCTCACTGCCTCTCCCCTGCTCACATACGCTCTCAAAAATTAATAAGCATTAAAAAAATTATTAAAAATTTTTATTTAAGTGCAGTTGACACGCTGTTAATGTTACTTCCAGGTATACAACTTAGTGATTCGGCAACTTTGCCTTTCCCTGTGCTCCCCATGAGGGTCGCTGCCATCTGTTCACTATCTTTACCTTGAGCACACGCGGCCACTCTGGAGAGGGCAGAGACTGGGGTGGGAAGACAGGAAGAGGAGCCTGTGAAGGAGACAGGGGGGAGTGGACAGTGGTGTGGAGCAGAACCGGGAACTGTGTGTGTTGCTGGCGCTCAGGGAGTTGCCGCCATCAGCGCAGTGAGATCAGGAACGTGAGCATGGGTGAGTCTCTGGCAGGTCCCTTGTCACTCTTCACTGGTGCCCGGGCCCTTCCTGCCCTGTCCTTCCTGACACCAGTGGCTGTGTGGGAAGATCCAGAGTTACACCAGCCTCTTTGCTCCATAGGTGAGCCCCACGTTCCCTTTCTGATCTGATGCCGGTGCCCATCTCTACTGTTTTCCTTGGTAGAAGGATCGTGATACACTGGGTGAGGAAAGTCTCTTGAGATCAAAATCTCTTGAGTTCAATGTAGGCCAGACCTTGAGTTCAGAGTCTTAGGAAGTCCTCTTCCTCTGGCCCACGTGGGGCTTGGGTTCTCTGGCTAGCAACAGCCTGGCTTCAGGACTTACCCCTGCAACCCCCCCACCCCCGAAGGCTCTAAATATAGGTTGTACAAAATTGGAAAAGCAAACAAAGTTATAAAGAGGAAAATAAAATTACCCTGCAAAGGTGACCACTTGCACGTCTTCATGTGTTAATCTTCTGACTTTTCTAGTCAGTCATTAGAGTATATCCGCGTATATGTTTTTATGATAGTGTAATTGAGATCATAAAATACAGCCGCCCAACTTTTTATGATAAATTTCCATTGTGGAAAGCACTGTGCACGCCTCCTGTATCCGACAGCTGCCATGTTGCCGTGGGCGCTGTCTCCACAGGCATTGATGAACTTGCTGTACACGCACTTGCTGTCTCATCTGAGAGCGAGCTGGAGCCCTCCAGTCACTCGAAGTGCACCGTGACGTGCTTTGCTCAGGATTCTCCTATACAGATACTTTTACCACACCTAGGAAAATAAGCAGTGTTTTGTAATATTGTCTTATCTTCAGTCCATGTTCATTTTTCCCTGCTTATCCCAAAAGTATGTTTTATAGCTTTTTTTCCTTTAAACCTGTAAACCAAACCAGTCATCCATTTCAAAGTTTTTTTTCTTTAGTTTCTTTTAGTCAAGCATGCACACCTACCACCTCAGCATGCGCCCGCCCCCGCCCGCCAGCTTCCCCATCAAATTGTTTTTCAGTTGAGGCATAAAATACTTGGTAAAATGAACACATCTTACCTGTTATGTCTCCATGATGTCTTATGTATGTAAACTGTAAAATTCCTGCGGTTTTCACTTACCATGGTGAACATTTTTCCTCATCATTACAGTGTTCACAAGTGAAGTGATTTTGGGCCACCTATGGTTTTGAAAACAGCAGACATCACTGTATTAATCTTCTTTTTCTGATTGGGTACCTGTTGCTTTTTCTTCTAGTCTGTGTCGGTCACTCTTGTTCTGGTTAGGATAAGGAAAATAGCCGCTTTGGTTTGGCACCGTTGTTCTTGCTGGACCTGGCTGTGGCTTATAGAGGTTGATTTTAATCTGCAGTGGCCTCCCTACGTTACGGTATGCTTCACTCAGGTCCCACATGAGGCAGCTGCCAGGTCTCATTCGGTTAAACAGGACTATGAAGGCAGAGTAGGTAACTGTTTATCTGCACTGAGCTGCAGTTGCCAGAAATGAACAAATAAATAAGCATGTCGTGGAGTGTTGCATGGGCTGCTCTGCCTGAGTCTCTAGGGCTTCCTCAAAACAGTTCTGTCTTGGTCAAAGCAAGACCATTTGAGGGGTTGTAGCTGGGGCCTCCTGACGGTCACACATAGCTAGATGCCAGGCGTGGGGTGCCTAATGTGGTGGAGCTGGCGTGGAGCTGCTCTGTCAGGTGCTCCAAATCCATACATGGACTGCTTTGGGGACTCAGTTGTCAAAGAAGAACATCCCAGATGTAACTTCTTATATTTCCGTCACTTGGGGGAGGATTTGGAGAAAAGCTCTGGATTTGTTTATTTTGATATGTGTTGCTCCTTCTATCAAGGATTGCCTTCATTCACCCATAATCCTCGAGTTAATGTGTTTTGCTACCTCCTTGACCCTGTTTCCATTGGGATCGATTGGGCTGTGCCCTTCCGATTGAGGGGGGACCTGGAAAGTGTGTACCTTTGTTGCCTCCATCTTGTTTTGTGAGTGTAGGTTTTTGTTTCCATTCAGCAGTGTGTCCCTTTCTTCCAGGAAGATGGCAGCCAGAGGGGATTTTCCTTCCTCAGCAGTGCTGAGGCCGGATGAATCCTATGCTTTGCTGTTTGGAGTAACGAATAGATAGAAATTTGTCATCTAGACCAGAGGTCTGCAGAGGCGCTATACCTTCTGTCACATATCCCACTGTCTTTCTCTGAGTCCTATAAAAATGTAAAAACAGGGCCACCTGGGTGGCTCAGTTGGTTAAGCGTCCGACTTTGTCTCGGGTCACGATCTCGAGGTTCGTGAGTTCAAGTCCTACACTGGGCTCTCTGCTGTCAGCACCTCTGCTTCAAATCCTCTGTTCCCCTCTCTCGGACCCTCCCCTGCTTGTTCTGTCTCTCTCAAAATAAATAAAGTTAAAAAAAATGTAAAAAAATTTTTTTTGTTTTTACCTTTTTAAAAGCTCCCCAAGTGGATTGCATTTGGCCTGCAGGCCGTTGTGTGCTAGGCCTTGGTCTAGACTCAAGGTGTTCCATCCTTTGGCTGGGAAAGAGGGTTTGTCTTAGACACACTCTGCCTTTCTCTGAGACAGAGCCAGGATGGTTGGGGATCCCTGTCCAGAAAGGCAGATATCCCACTGGCCTTTCCAGAGGGAGCTAGAAAGTTCTGACTAAGGCACATGATATAAAAATTATTAAGCTTGCTATTTCCTTGTGTGTGTGTGTGTGTGTGTGTGTGTGTGTGTGTGTGTGTGTGTTTCCTCTTGTTTCCCTTCAGTGTAACTAAAGACAAAACTCTTAAATAAGGACTCAATATGCTGACATATTGGAGGCAGCAAGTAACATGGTTTCTGGCAAGACCCCGTTGTACCGTGCTGCCCTTGGGCACAAGGGTTGAATGCTGGCAGTTGTTAGGGGAGAGGAGAGTGGGCTGAACTCCTGGGGCAAGAAGAGGGACTTCTTCCTGGCAAGAAGTCTGAATTCCTGCCAGAGAGGAAGGAGTACTGAAGGAGTCTATTGGAAATTGCTTCTGCCCTTTGCCTTTATGATCTGTAGGATCTTGGCTTTAGGCCAAACCTGAGACCAAAAGTCTGGGCTGAGCTCATCTGCTTTCTAGGCAGAGCTACAGATGTGTGGCACTGGTACCGACTCATGTTCTGCTTCCTGCTTTAGAGTCCTCTGAACAGCCGACCCCCGAGGAGGAGGCTGAGGAGACAGAGGCCTGGGCTAAGCCCCTGAGCCAACTATGGCAGAACCGACCCCCGAACTTTGAGGCCGAGAAGGAATTCAATGAGACCATGGCCCAGCAGGCCCCTCACTGCGCTGTCTGTATGATCTTTCAGACTTACCATCAGGTAAGTCCACTTCGTCCTTTGTTTACCTAGGACCTGCAGTCCAGAGGGAGGTGGGGTTTAGTTGTGGGTACATAGCTTGTCACTGGTCATCTTGGGAAAGGTGCGTTCTTCTGGTGTTCAGTGCCCCATCTGAGTGCTGGCCAGGCTACTCTGGCCAGGCAGATAATCTAGCAATGGGGCTTTTCACTTGACAATGGTTTGCAGAAGAGCTGGAGTGTGGCTTAGCCTTGACTTGGTGGGTTTCCCTGCACCCTGTGGCACTCACATTGTTTGCAGAGGAATCTTGCTCTTTTGTTATTATTCTAGGCAGTGATGATTCCTTCCAGGTGGTTTTTCCTCCTGGCCAGTATGGAGCACTGTGCCTTTCTTTAGGACAGTCTGCCAGATTCTCCAGTGTTGTGTCTTCCTTTCTCATTGCCACCGTGGGTACTGGCAGTACCCAGAAGGAAGTAGGGGAGGGACCGCGGGAGGAAGTGGAGGGGGAAGCACTGGAGCTGAGCTTGTCTGTGCCCCTCCCCCTCCTGGGGCACTTGATGGTAGTCTTCGGGTTCAGCTCTGGAAGGTCGGGAATGCATCTACAGGGGCACGTGCCGGGTGAGCAGCTGAGGTTCACCTGGGACCTGCACAGGGCGGCATGTGGATAACCAGTCCTCTGTTGGTTAAGGTGGCATGGCTACACTGAGCTGGCACAGCCACAGATTCACGCCTGCCAAAGAATGGAACCTCAGGCCAACATACTTTGGATTAGCAGCTCAGTACTTCTTTCCACTGACGAAAAAGCAAAACTGAAGTGTGTGTACCCTTGGCCTGCGAGACAAGTGAACGGACTGGGTGCACTGTCAGCAGGTCCACTGAGAGGGCCCCAGGGTTTCAAGAGGGGCACATGCTTAGGGGTGACATGTTTTGGGCCCTGTCCTTGAAATGGTGGTGATGGTGCCATCCATAGACAGAGCCAGCAAATATTTGCAGTCAGGGTGTTTGCCAAGGGAAGTATGTGGATGTTCTTTCTGGGCATTCTTTCTGGAGGGACCCGAGCCAGGAATCACAGGTGGGGCTCCAGCCGTGTGGCAGTGCTGCTGCTCAGGTCATGTGCTGCCATGGGGCCCAGGAGGGATTCCGTGCTGGTCCATTAGGAGCACCTGCTCTGGGTCCTCTCCCTGGGTACGGGCCACCGTGCAGTGCAGCGCATAAGGGAGCCCACAAGAGCAGCTTCGCTAACGTCTCAGTGCATTTTATTACCACTTGGTTTGGGAAGATGGAAATCCCAGTTGCCTCTTACCTTGCTCCCTTTCCTTAGTTGTCCCCAGGGTCCTTTGTTTGATGCCTCTGTGAGAAATTGAATTGGAGTCATTAGAGATAACTTCAATTAGCAGCTCTGGGATAATGGCTGTGCACCCGAGAGCCTTAGCCACAGAGTCATACCAGGAAGAGAGGCGGCTTTCTGCTGACAGAGCAGGTGGAAGCGGAGACACAGGCGCATGTTCACGGGATTCTGGGAATTCTGCACTGCTGTCTCTCCTTAGGTGGAGTTTGGAGGCCTTAGTCAGAGCTGTGGAAACGCTCCAGATTTAGCCCCCCAGAAGCAGAGGACCAAGCCATTGATTCCTGAAATGTGTTTCACCTCGACTGGCTGCAGCACAGACATCAACCTTTCTACCCCTTACCTTGAGGAGGACGGCACCAGCCTTCTAGTTTCCTGCAAGAAGTGCAGTGTCCGGGTCCATGCCAGTGAGTGCCTCAGCTTTTGTCTGCGTCTTGACCCAGAGGGCCTGAGCCTTCTCACTGCAAGTCTCGCCCCGTGTTGGCCTCCCTCCAGCCTCCCAGTGGCGCCCCCAGGTCCCGAGTGCAAAGATTGCTCTTGTGTTCTTGGGGAGTTTGCTGCTGATGGAGTTGGGAGTTTCACTGACTTTGGGTGCGTCCTTGTACGGTCAACCTTGTGCTGTTCTCTGGGCTGTAGATGCCAGGAGGGGATTAGTAGTCCCTGCTGCTCCCTAGGTGTTTGTACCAGTGGACCTACAGGCTCTGACTTTTCGAGACCTTGGGCCATAGTGTATGGGTGAATCCTGGGGGACCCTGACTCTAGAATTCAGGCGTTTTCCCGTAAGACTTGGTCGCAGCCTTCAGACTCATGGTATGTGAAAAAGAGTCACAGGTCTGCATTCTGACTCTGGCCTCTGGGTTTAATCTGCTCATCTTGGTGTCCTTGTTAGGTTGCTACGGAGTACCCCCTGCCAAGGCTTCTGAAGACTGGATGTGTTCTCGGTGTTCCGCCAATGCCCTGGAGGAGGTGAGTGTGTCCACAGTGTTGCTGTCTTCCCCCTGAGACTCGGGATTCACTCAGGGCCAGGCTTTTTCATGTGGACTTTCTGTCCCCAGCAGTCTGTGCAGAGCCTGGTACACAGTGATGTTAAAGAGTGCATACTGTCAGAATAAATCTCCCCAGACGGTGTGGTTGCTGCCCAGCTATGGCAGGGCATGAATGGAGTCTGGAAGCTGTGTTTGCTACATTGTGTCCAGACTAAGCAGAGGTCCTCCTGTGGACAAGATATAACCCCCTTTAAAGAATGCATTGGGTTTGGCCATCAGAATGGGGTTCAGGTGGTTCATTTTGTAGCTTTGTCTTCATCACTCCCTGCCCCGGAACCTAGCAGTACCCCACATACAAGGCAGAGTCCTGTAACGCTTCCAGTTTGAGCAGAGTATCATTGGTTACAGTTGATAACAGTAACGGCAAAGAGGATTATGTTAAGTCAAGTGGAATACTTGGTGTACTTTAGCCCCGGGTGGTCTCCCTGTCTTCCTGTAGGGGAGTCCTGCTTACATGGGCTGCGTAGGCGAGGCCCCACCTGCCGATAAGCCACTTTCTTATGTGGAGGCTCCAGTTATCCAAAGGAGGCCAAGGAGAGAGCAGATTGGATGTTAATGACTTGGTGGTAACCACCCTTCCTTCCTCCCCCTCCCTTCTTGGCAGGACTGCTGTTTGTGCTCATTACGAGGGGGAGCCCTCCAGAGAGCCAATGATGACAGGTGAGTTTCTGAGCAGTGTTCTGGAGCAGCGTGCAGAGGCACCGAGACGGCAGTGGCTATTCATCAGAGTGGCTGATGAGGGTTTGGGAAGCACGTTGTTGGAGGTGCAATAGCATCTCCAAGACTAATTTTAAAAATGAGATGCCAAGGGGAGCCAAGCAGCCCTACACCTTTCCAACTCCACCTTCCTCTCCGAGGCAGGGGTATCAGTGATGTCTTCCTTGCAGGGGAGCTAAGACAGACTCACAAGGGTGTGGAGATCCTGTGCAGGTGATGCAGAGGCTCAGGGCCTGTTGCAAGGACTGTTACCTTGTTGCAGCCGGGCTGGTGCAGAGGTGGCCGTGGCTGTGGGCTCGTGAGCATGCGCCCTCTGGCTCAGACCTGGCGTCTGAGCGAGCGTGTGTGTCCTTGGGGAGGAGAGTGGGACTTGGAGAGCTCAGCCTCACCCACCTGCTGTGGAGTCAAGTCTACAGAAGTATGGGCATAGCAGCCGTCAGGTTGCTTTTTGTACCTGGTCTTTGCTTACTTGTTCTGAGGTAGAAATGTGAGGTGAATGAGGTTTTTGCCCTGGAAAACCTGGCTGTCTAGGAGATAACACAGCAGGCAGCCAGTGGTGAATATCCTGCTTCCGGCTAAGGTCCTGTGGGGATTGGAGCCTCCTGCAGCACGAGAACCCCCTTCAGGCTGTTCCACATAGACAGCTCTTCTGATTGCTGCTTCCAACCTTTAAAGGTACTTGCTGCCACGACTTGAGGTGATCGTGTCCCTCACAGTTGGGAGGGAGCGCTGTTAAAAGTTCTTCCTTACTTGCAGTGGAAAGGGCTCTGCTTGAGCCTCCCACCGTAACCGCACAATCCCAGTTCTGCCCTGTGGGGCCACGCCAGACAGATCTGTTCCCACTTGCATAGGGGCCCCGCCAGCACCGCAGACGGCTTCCGTGTGGGCCCCGCGCTGTCTGTCGTAGGTTTTCACCTGGCCTCACATTAAGAACTTTCAGCATCTTAATTGTTCTCTTCGTGGTGCGTGTCAGTTTCTGAAAATGCCCGGAACTTTAATTCTCTGAGGATATCCATTGAGTAGACCTGTCAGAGCAAGTGGGGCTTGGGCCAGACCTTAACAAATGAGTGTGCAGTGGATGAAGGGAGCAGAGGCAGAGGTCATCTCAGCCCAAGGGAAAGGTTGGGAGGAGGCCTAGAAGGTAGAGCTGTGGCTACGGGCAGACGGGGCACAGATGGAGACATCTGAGGAAGCACCCAGCTCCTGCGGTAAAAGAGGACTGTATAGGACTCTCTGATTTGCTCTTTCTCCCTGAAACCTGCCCCACTCCATTAGTTCTGGTTCCGCTTATTTTGCAACAGATTGTGAATGAGTTAGCGGTGTACGAAGTGCAACCCTGTGCTAACCCAGGGCGGTGTGGTGGGGGCCCATTTTCATACTTGGTGTGGAGACACCTCTGTCTCCTTCCTTGCTGGGTCCTGGGACCTTGCAGGTAGGTGGAAGTAAGTGGCCGTGTTGGACTGGGGAGGAAGGAGGAAGCACTATCAGCAGGCCCACCCACTCTTGAATCGTTACATTTGGTGAGGAGGCCACAGGACCTTGGAGGCAGAGGTGACTGAGGTACACTTTGCCTTTTGGCAGGTGGGTCCACGTCTCGTGTGCTGTGGCAATTTTGGAAGCAAGGTTTGTCAACATTGCTGAAAGAAGTCCGGTGGACGTGAGCAAAATACCCCTGCCCCGCTTCAAACTGGTAAGGAAGAGGAGATGGGCTTGGAGACACTGCATCTTTGTCCTATTCTAAGTCTCTGAGTGGAGGAGAACATAACGTGCCCCATGTGGCCCAGTGGTCATCTGTTACCCTTGGGTTAGGTCAGGGCTTGTGAGCCACTGAATGTTAAAAGAGGACACGTGTCCTCAGATAAGAGGTTAAAAGAGGTGTGTGTACCCTCTTGTTTGGGGAAGAAGGTTGGCTTTTGCCCGTTGGACTCTGTGCGTTTAGGCAGGGGAGCAGTGGAGGACACCACACCGTTAGTTCCTGGAATCACTGGCTTGCTTCCCCTGTGTCCTAGAAATGTGTCTTCTGTAAGAAGCGGAGGAAAAGAGCCGCCGGCTGCTGTGTGCAGTGCTCCCACGGCCGCTGTCCAACTGCCTTCCACGTGAGCTGCGCCCAGGCTGCCGGAGTGATGATGCAGCCGGACGACTGGCCTTTCGTCGTCTTCATTACCTGCTTTCGGCACAAGATTCCGAATTTGGAGGTGAGGGAAGGTGCCGTTCTAGAATCCTCTTGACTGTTTCTGGGATCATTTTCTCTGCCTATGTCAGCACGTATTTTCTCCAGCTTTACCCTTTATGGAGAGTGCTAATAGGTAGGGATTCAGAGGTGGCCCCCGTCCATCTCTGCTGCCTGCCTTGTGCTTCCTAATCCACTGGCACCAAACTGCTTGTGGTTGATTCCTTGTGATTATGTTTACCTGTTTGCCTCTCCTTGAGGGGTCCTGTTATTAATATGAGTGTCCCTGTCACCTACCACCGTGTCTGGGGCAGAGCAGAAGCTATGCAGATATTGCGAATGGACGGAGAGAGCTCGGAACAGTTAACCATTAACTACCATACAGTAGGGATTTTTGTGCTTCTCTAAATAGTGGAGCTTGGAGAACATTACATGTCAAGTTATGAAAGGGTTTGGGTGGAAGGTGGCATTTGGTGTGGGCACCTGGGTGGCTCAGTTGGTTAGGTATCCGACTTCAGCTCAGGTCATGATGTCATGGTTTTTGTGAGTTCGGGTCCCACGTCGGGCTCTGTGCTGACAGCTCAGAGCCTGGAGCCTGCTTTGGATTCTGTGTTTCCCTCTCTCTGTCCCTTTCCCGCTTGCATTCTGTCTGTCTGTCTGTCAAAAATAAATAAATATTGAAGTGGGACTTAAACAGTAAGTAGGAATTATGAGAGGGAGGGTGTTCAAGCCTTCAGAAGTAGAACGAGGGGCACTTGGGTGGCTCAGTTGGCTCAGTTGCTTAAGTGTCCAACTCTTGATTTCAGCCCAAGTCATGATCTCCTAGTTCATGAGATCGAGCCCTGCATTGGGCTCCCAAGCTGACAGCACAGAGCCTGCTTGGGATTCTCTTTCCCTGTCTCTCTGCCCCTCCCCCATTCACACACACAAACTCTTTCAAGCTAAATTAAAAAAAAAAAAGCTGAACAAACAAGTCTCTGGAGAATGAACATGGAAGATGTTCTGGGAATATGGCAGGGGTGATACTCAAAAGACAAATGGCAGCCGACACTGAAGGCCCTGGACTGCCCTACTTAGGAGTTTGATCCCTCTTCCACTAAATGAGGAGAACTTCTCAAAAATTTGGATTTTGAACCATATTTTGAAACACTTAATTCTGGTGGTGGATTCAGGGGCTCAAAGAATAAGAATTTGAGGCAGGGAGACTGGTTGGGCTGGGAGCGAAGTGAGGTCTGGAGTGGGAACACGTAGCCAGAGCTCTGGGGTGACATCTTATGTGGGATCCTACAATGGGTGGGATCGACAGGGTCTGTTGACCATCCTGGAGAGATTAGTGGGGAAGGGGTGAAGGAATGTGAAGTTAAGATGGCTCAGGTGGCTCTCCTGGAAGATGGAGAGGATGAAAATGTGATGCTATTAACTGTGTCCAGAACTGATTCAGAGCAGGGCAGGTTTCCAGGGGAAAGGGGGAGAGGTGAAAAAGAGGATGACCTTGAGGTCATTGCTGGAGCATTCTGATGGAGCTACCAGGAAACAGCTGCTATAACGATGAGGGTGAAGATTTGGATCTTCTCTGCATTTAATAGGGTAGTTCACTCCAGTTGCCATTAGAAACTGGACTCTGGAGATTCCTAATGTAAGGAGCAGATGGCAGAGGACGAGCCAGTGAAAGCAGCTGAGAAAGGGCAGACAGAAGCCAGTGGAGGGGATCAGGAAGCTGTGTGCTCTGGGGCAGGCAGGTCTGGTATAATGCTTGTTGGTGCCCCATACTGAGGAGTTGTCGGGGGGTCTTCTGGTCAGAAACCAGACTGTAGTTGGGGAAGTTAGAGGCTACTAGAAGAGACCGTGATGAAGATTTGTCAGCAGTGCAGGAAATATGGTAGTGAAGGGCACAGTGGAGTACCAGTCTGGAGGAGCAAACGTGTCACTACCATCTGGGGTCATGGAAAAGGCCTTGTTGGCCGACTGGCTTCTCCTTTTCCATAGAGATGTTACACTGGGCATGAGAGGTGGTCAGGTGGGTTAGGAGCTCAGGAAGGGGGAAGATAGTCATTGTGAGGAAGAAACTCTGGAGGGGTGGTGGGTGAGGTAGTGCTGAGCCCAGAGGGCTCAGGGAAGCAGGAGTTTTGTTATGGAGTCAGGATGGTGATTTGGGGACTGTCATTAACATTGCACATCCTTAAATTGGCACCCATGGACTGCTGATGCTTTGAGAAAATGGGGTACTATGTAGTATTATTTTCACTAATCATTCTGTAGTTTTTTAATTTTTTAAAGTTTATTTTGAGAGAGAGTGAGTGAGCAGGGGAGGGCCAGAGAGAGAGAGAGAAAGAGAGAGAGAGAAGGAGACAATCCCAAGCAGGCTCCACACTGTCAGCACAGAGCCTGACATGGGGCTTGAACTCATGAACCGTGAGATCATGACCTGAGCCGAAACCAAGAGTTAGATGCTTAACCAACTGAGCCCCCCATGTGTCCTCGCTAATCATTCTTTAAATATCTATTGAGCATCTCTTACACGTCAGTCCCAACTTTAGGTGCTGGAAATATAAGTGAACAAGACAAAACAGTGCCTGTCCTCTTGCTGCATGTAGTTGAAAGACATACAGAAATGCATAAGTAGAGTATCTCAGATGGGAGAAGGGTGGTGGATAAAAATGTAGCAGGATAAGGGGAATGGAAGAGGTATAATAAGGAACAGCGTCAGTAGGTTGACATTTGGTTGTGAGGGGCCAGTGAGTGTGCAGAGGGCTGGGGAATAGCATTTCAGGTAGAGGGAACAGCAGGGCAGTGGCTCTGAGGAGGGAACGTGTTTGGCACACGTGCTCCCGGAACAGCAAGGAGGCCAGCATGGCTGGAGCGCAGTGCTTGGGGAACTTGGTGGGGAGTAGTTGGACACAGTGTTACCAGATGCTCTGTGATGCCATTTCCATCAAGGGCAAATTCAGAATGACGGGGTGATGTGAGGGTTGGCATGGCCCTTGTAATGGGAGCCCCTTGTCACATGCATCTGCGGATGTCCAGGGAACTAGTGCTGAGATCTGCGTAGAGCATTGTCTGGGGCCCTGGGCTCAGATCTCCTGTTGAGTGTCTCCCTGGATGTCTTTCTAAGCTGTGTGCATTAGTAGATGCTATTTGGTCAGTTCCCGGCAACAGTAGGGAAGTTAACACAAGAGTATTTTTTGGGAGACAGTATGGTGTAAGGACCAGTTGTGGAATGGGAACTAGGGAGGTGCTACATTTATGGAGGAAAATAGGACACTGGTTTCTGGTAGTGTCCCTGCTGAGGTGTGGATATATGGAAAAGACCTGGTTCAGCTCCCATCCCCTTCTTTTTATTTTTCCAGTCCCATTCTTTCTCCCTGGTAAAGGGCAACCAGTTGATCTTGGTCCCCATTTTCCAGTCCTGGCAACTCCATGTGGGAGTAACCCAAGCCTCTGTTTTTTCCAGCGTGCCAAGGGGGCCTTGCAGAGCATCACCGCAGGCCAGAAGGTCATTAGCAAGCACAAGAACGGGCGCTTCTACCAGTGTGAGGTGGTCAGGCTCACCACCGAGACCTTCTATGAAGTCAACTTTGACGATGGCTCCTTCAGTGACAATCTCTATCCTGAGGACATAGTGGTAATGTCTGCAAGGAGCTTCCTGGGCAGGTGGGATGGGGGTGTTTGTAGGTCTGGCTGTGGGCCAGCCCGCCATTTCTAGCCAGGTCTTCAGGCCCATTAGTTCCCTGAACAGAAAGAACCATTTGTGCTGGTCTTTCCTTGCAAAGAAAATTGTGTGCTGCTAGGCTGCCCTGCTTCCTCTCTAGAAGCTTCTTGGAATCTGTGTTTTCTGCAACACCGTGAAACATGCTTATATTTCAGTCTAAGCTACACTTGAAGGTGTTCTTATGCAGTGGAAGAGCCCGGCATTGGAAACCAACCACTGTGCCAATACTAGCTCCATTGCCTAGTAGCTGTGTGATATTGGAAGAATTAATCCAACTCTCTTTCCCATCATGCCCCCTTAGTAGATGTGTGGTCTTTACAGTTGAAGGGGCTAAGCAGAAACTGCTTGGAGACCTCCCTGGCCTGCTTATGTTATTGACACCTGACACACTGGAGGCTCTGCCTGGACCCACTTCTAGGTTTCCTGGCTCAGTATTCAGGACTTAGTTCGAATTTCCCTTACCCGCACAGCCTTTTCACTTGTGAGCTTAAGCACCACGGCAGTGGGATGAAGCCACTTCTTCCTTTGACAAACCAGGTATTTCCCACTTTTATACTTCATTAGCAGCTTAGTTGCTAGAAGCACATTCATTACTTACAAGGTAGACTTAAGTCATAGTAAAGATCATATTAACAGTATTTGTGGCAGTGGAATAGTTATAATTTACTAGGCTTTTCTAGTACACAAGGCCCTGTGCTAAGTGCTTCAGGTCAGGTGTGTCTGTCACTTCTCATACCAGTTCTGAGAAGCAAGTGGTGTTATCTCTGACTTACAGATCAATGACCTCAGCACTCTTAAGTTACTGAGGACTGTGGGTTATGTCTATCATAAATGTTTACTCTGTTAGAAATTAAAATAGAGATTAATTGATTTGAAATAGTCTGGGTTTTTAAAAATGAAAAACAACTATTTTAAAACAAAATCTTGGTGGGAAGAATGCCATTTTCCTGCAAATCTCTATGTCATGTGTTCATTCAGTCCGTTGTGATAGATTGTTTTGGTTAAAGTCTATGAAGAAAATTCAACCTCACACAGTTGTGTGCTAATTGGAAAGGGGAGGAGTCTTTTAATAGCCTTTCATACCGTTGTGATTATTTAATACTACACCAAAACTCAACGAGTAGTAGTTTCTTAAAAGTTAGTTGCAGGGTGGAATCTGAAAGCAGGTCAATGAGCTTTGTACACTCTGTTACATTAAAATCCACTGGTCTGTCTTGCACTGAGACTAGATCTTCACCTCTGCCAAATTTTGCAACCTCATACATTGGTTATTTAGAAAATACTCGTACGTTGGGCTACGCAGATCTTCCAAATGTTAAATTTTATTATACAGTATCAAAAAACACATTTATTAGTGTCACCATTCTTAGAAATTATCTTTAAATTTGGCAAAGCTTCAAGCCGATTTTGGTGATTACTACATTTCTGAAGTTCTAATTTTTCCAAAAGCTTAAGTTTTATCCTCGGCAGTACTGTCTGATATTTTCCGTAAAGTGACAGGCTTGTTCATTCATTTCCAAGATGTCTGCCAGTACCCATGTCTGAGTAACTATAGTTTGTTTATGTCAGGCATTTTTTCAAATAAAGCTGGTGCTCCATGAACAAAGCAGCAACACAACAATTAAGTTACACAGTGCTTTTCCTCAAGATAACCATCCTACCTCAGCATGCAGCAAAGCGCCCTTTTGAGTACTCACACGTGTTCTCAAGGACTGGGGTTTGACAGAATTAATACATTTTTCTGCTTTGTTGAGAGATATTGTCATGTGAGACTGGGTATTTTTCTTTTTTCTTTTTACCCTAAATTATGAGCACACAGTGATACAGGATGTAGTAACAACTAATAATGCTTGGAACCCCTGCCCTGTGTTAAGATAAGAGCAGTTTTGCCTGTAACAGATTTTATACCATCACTGCCAAGGTCAGCACAGTGAATGAGGCTAATGTTTTCATAGTACTCTGAAATTCTTGTTCTAGTATTTCTTCGGGGTAGAGCTCTGTCCCCTGTTCTTTGGAGGGACAGTTGAAGGAACACAAGGAGGATTCTTGATCTTGGCACTGTGTTTATGAAGTTCACTCGAAGTTTATTCTGGCTCTTCTTTTCTGTCCCCTGAAAGCAGCAAGGGCAGAGATCTGGGGCCAGCTTATGACTTAGCAGGCAGGTAGGTCTTTAACCATTGTGTCTTCTAGCTCGGAGAGAGCCTGCCTTGCTTGGGTGTCTGGGCAGGAATCTGCCCTGGTTCATTCTTCCCTGAGTAGGTGGTGGTCACCCCTGTGCTCAGGGGGCCTTCCTCTCATCCTTCTCCCTTACTGTTCCCTCAGAGCCAGGACTGCCTCCAGTTGGGTCCTCCTGCTGAGGGAGAAGTGGTCCAAGTCAGATGGACAGATGGCCAAGTCTACGGAGCCAAATTTGTGGCATCCCATCCTATCCAGATGTACCAGGTAGCCAAACGTTTTTGTTGGGCTCTGGGGGAGTTCTTGATTAATTCAGTGCTTCCTCTTAGAGGCAAGCCTTTGCTCTTGGAAGAGCTCAGGGGTCAGTAACAACCTTTTTAGAGCTAGGGGCTGCCCTGTGTTCAGTCTGCCGGGGGTGGCTTCGAATTTGGCAGTCCTTACTTCAGTGTTCTGGATCCTTCCTGTGACAGCAGAAAGTTGCCATTGTGCTTTGGGGACCAGGGAGAGAGTCAGGGATGTCTTAGCCAAAGGCCTCTGTTTGCTTGGTAGGTGGAGTTCGAGGACGGCTCACAGCTTGTGGTTAAGAGAGATGACGTGTACACGCTGGATGAAGAGCTTCCCAAGAGAGTCAAGTCTAGACTGGTGAGTGTGTTTTCTGTGTGCCCTTGTTCCAGGTCTGGGAGGGAGGGAATGAGGCAAGGGTGTGTCATTTTGTTTTTCCCTTCCGGGTGGTTGGCCACAAAGTGCTCATCTGGCTTGCTTATTCTTCTATAGTCAGTAGCCTCAGACATGCGCTTCAATGAGATTTTCACGGAGAAAGAGGTTAAACAGGAAAAGAAACGGCAACGAGTGATCAACTCAAGATACCGGGAAGATTACATCGAGCCTGCACTATACCGAGCCATCATGGAATAGGTGCTTCCAGGGGCCGAGAGGTGCCCAGCCATCAAGGCGAGAGCACTCTGGGGTTCCACAGCACAGCAGACACTTGGAACTCTGAAGTCTCTGAAAGTGAAGTTGTAAAATGAAAAGGAATGGGATAACCGACCCCATCGTCTTCTCACGCCCCTACCCGCCACCCCCCCCTCGCATTCCGCTGTAGTGAAAGGACAAGCCTTTCTTGGACATGTGGCAGCAGCCGCCTATCACCCAGCTGAAGGGCTGAGCACTGAAATGCTGTGGCTGCACTGGCCCCAGTCTCCAGTGGGGTTGACTGTGCTGGCCGGGCTGGTTGCCCTGTTCCTGGCCTAGGACTTAGCTTCCTAACAATCACCTGCACCGACTAGGCAGAGGTGCTGGTGCTTACTCCCTCTCCCCTTTTGTATTTATGTGTGCGCGCGTATATGTGTGTGTGTGTGTATGCGCGTGCGCGCGCGTGTGTGTACGTGTGCGCACATGTATGTTTGGTTTGGACCAGCTTCTGCCAGCCCCTGGCCTTTACTTTCTTCCTTGCCTGTCCAGGGCAAACAAAATGTGAAATTCTGCCCTCAGCTGAGTGGAGTAAAGGCTCCTGGGGGTTGGCTGGAGATGAGTGTGGCATCTATCTGTCCCTGGAACAGCCTCAAGGAAGTGCTGGCAAAGCTGCAGTATTGAGATGTTAAGGAGTTAATGCCACCTCTTTGTCCTGTCTTGAAGGAGCAGATAGGGGCAGTGTGGGTTTGTGCCCATATCATTCTAGGCACAGAGCCCCTGTGGCACAGTATTAGAGGGTGTGGGTGGGGAACACCCTGAAGGGGGGATCTTAATGATGGAAGCAGGCAGAGCCTGGTGGGTGATTTTGTCAACAGAAAATTTGCAATCATGCAGGGGCTGGGAGGGTTAAGATGAACTGGGGCCACTGGAGACCAGGGGCAGGTTTAGGTATGCCCCTGGTCTGGGGGTGGGAGGGAGCTGATTTGGGGGTGGGGGAGGGACTGGAGGGCAACACTGAAGGGGTTAAACAGGTTTTGCTCCTCATGAATTTGTTTGCCTGGGATTGGAGGGCTTCACACCTATACCCTGTGTATACAAGAATCAGATTTATAATACTTCCCTGTTTTTTGTTACGTATGAACGCTATAAACCAAATTATTTTGAAAACTGGTGCATCACCTTGTCCTTAGCAATAAAATGTGTTGAGCAGAGGATTGGCTGTGTCTGCCCCAAGGAGCCTGAGTGGCCCAGGGTCAGGCTGGGGGTGTATTTAGTTAATAGGCTCTGAAGAAGGGCTGGACACTTTAAGAAAACTTGGGCGGGATCTAGGAAGCTGTCCTAAAGCGATGGGCTCCGGTCCTGTGGCTCTGAGTTAGGACAAGCAAGGTGGGACATGGGGGGCAGAGGCACCTGTGGCTATGAGCACTTTGTTTTGCTTCCTTTGCCTTAGGTATGGGAAAGAGATGGGCATAGAGGACCAGACCACTTCCACAAACTGGGTTTGAGCTCTCATCCCTGCAGCGCTTGATTATTATATTCATGGGGCTAGTCTAAGTTCATGCAAGCATCCGTGTTCTGTACAAATTGTGGAGCCAGCTTGAAAGGAAGGAGTGTATTTTAGGTGCTTTAAGAGCAAGAGACTCGGCTCCTAGTGGGATCCAGAGGGGTCTTGAAGCTGCTCTGAGCTGTCTGTAGTTGCTGAGAAGCTTCCCTGGAGAAAGATCGGTCCCTTTGCCTGGTGGGTTTCTGGGGTCCAGGTGGATGAGGATAGAGCAGCGGCAGGGCAGGGAGGTGCCAGTGACTAGGTGCAGGGTGTGGGCACAGTAGAGCTGCTCCAGCTGGCCCTTGGATGGCCTGGCCCTTTCCAGGTGCCGGAGAGGCTTGGGTCAGCTCAGTAGCTCTCAATGCTTCTTTGTGTCCTGGGGCTTAGGAGGTGGATGCTACCTCGTGTCTGATTGTGGGGGAAGGCAGGAACAGGAGGTTTCAAAGACACTTTTCTATGCCAACTCCTTCCTGGGCCCAAGAAAAGGAAGTTGACTTTTTTTGTCCAGCATCCAAGAATTCATTTGAGAGACCAGGCGGAGCCAGGCCTTAATGAGTTGTTTGATCCCTCAGAGCACACATCTTTGAAGGGAAGGAACACTTCCCTAGACTTGGCAGGGTCCCAGGCCTTGCTACCTCTCACTGACCCCACCATCCCCATCCCTGCTGAATGACCTGCAGGGCTGAGGTGCCTGGTCTAACCCCAGAAGAATTCTAAGCAGCTGTTTTTCTAGAAATTTTGCACTTTGAATTTTAGTTTAAGTAATAACTCTGGGGAAACCCGAAGTTTAAAGAGTTGCTCAAGTCCCACAGAGCAGGCTGTTGTATTTTTCAGACTTTAAGTGATCTCTACACCCCATGGGGGTTAGGGGGGCTCGAACTCATGACCCCGAGATCAAGAGCTGCATGCTCTTATGACTGAGCCAGCCAGGGACTCCAGGCTCCTTGGTTTTCTTCCTCACTGCCTGCCAGTGCAGTCAGGCCCAGGACTTAGAGGGCACACTCCAGGGAAGCGTTTTAGGCAGGTTCTAACCAGAACCCTTTTTGTCAGGGCAAACTGCTCTCTTTTCCTAAGGTAGGATCCCTGGGTGGGCAGCCAAGGATCGCAGCCCGACAGTATCTTCTCCCTTCCGTCAATCCCACTGGAGGTCCTACGTTTCAAATTGTGCCCCAGATGGATGCCGGTGCTCTGCTGCGGGAAGGAGGGGTAGGGGGTGGAAGAGAGCTGGGACCTCGGGAGCTGCAAAGGGTAGACGGGGCGAGTGGTCCGGTGCCCGAACTAAAACCCTTCCTGCCAGACTCTGAAATGGGCAATAGCGAATAGCAGCCAGCGAATCCTGCCCCCACCCCACCCACCCTTTACCCCACAGGATCCGTAGAGGTCTCCAAGCCTTGGGCCTCCGAGAGCCCAGTGGAGGCGCTCAGCTGGTCTCCGGGAGGCAGCTGCGC